AAGACATAAGAAATGAACTCTTGGAAGAAGAAAGTCTTTCTAGATAATAGAGGGGGAAAAGACTTCTTGGAATTGCAGGGAGACATTCTTCTCCAAGAAAGTCAGGAAAAGAGTAGAAAACAGAAACAGAAGGCCAGGTGCGGTGGCTCACACCTGTAATCCCAGCACTTTGGGAGAGCGAGGCGGGCGGATCATGAGGTCAGGAGACCAAGACCATCTTGGCTAACATGGTGAAACCGTGTCTCTATGAAAAATACAAAAAATTAGCCAGGCGTGGTGGTGGGCACCTGTAGTCCCAGCTACTCGGGAGGCTGAGGCAGGAGAACGGCATGAACCTGGGAGGTGGAACTTGCAGTGAGCCGAGATTGCGCCACTGCACTCCAGCCTGGGCAACAGAGTGAGACTCCGTCTCAGAAAAAAAAAAGAAAAAAAGAAAACAGAAACAGAGAAGGTCTGCAGCTCTCCTGCTGGACGAAAGCAAGGCAACTACGTGGCTGTACAACAAGGGCAAATATACACAGCTTAGCAAGACAACGAGAGAAATCAAGTTTCTCTTTTACTTGAGAGACGACCTTAGAACTAAAAGGGCATATCATATTTAAACGTACTGATTAGATGAAGCCCCTTTACTCTCAGAACAGAACCCACATTTTGGGAATGTATTCTTCCCTCTTCTTTTGCACTTGTAAGTAAATGGTCCTCAAAATTCAAACTTTCATCAAGCTCTGTGGGAACCAGGGATATGAATTTTATTCATCAGCTCCCAATTTAGACCCCTGTATTGCTGTGAAAATATATGCAATACTACAGAAAGCCATGAGGGGCGGGAACTTGGGACATTTATGATGGTGTTCACTTGATGCCACAATGACAAAACAAATGTCATTTTAAAAAAGTACCACTGAAAATATCACTGACATACAGAATGAGAAAATAAGGATAGATCAGAACTTTCCAGAGAGTGAATTAGGATGACTAGTGACAGGTGGTGTTTATTTATAAATTTCCCCTCTGGGGCTTCAAAATGGGGAAGCTGAAAAGAAATAATTTTTTAAGTTAGCTTGTGAAATCTCCTGCTCTTCAATCTTGATGCTGTTAATTAGGCTACTTCTAGAGACTTTTTGCGTAAACAAATGCTTGTGTTTTCTTTATTCTCAGTAGCAACTGATTTAATCACATTATTGTCCTGTACATGTCACAGCAGATCTATAAAATCATGTAATAGATTCACTGATTTCCAAATAATACACTTAGAGTCAACACTTGTTTACAAGGCAGACCAAGATGCTTTCAATGGGGCTGACATTACCTTAAATGCCACCTGGATGATCTCCTCTGTATTGGCAGGGTTGCACAAGACAGCCAGGCCAATCACATACTCTCGGAAGTCGATGCTGCCGTCATGGTTCTGTGAAAGGATGGGAGAAATTAATTAGAAGGGCCACTAGTGGAATTACTATTAATCCTACTACAAGGTGAAATTCAGGTATGTCTTATAGCTCAACATCATCATTCACTGTTCCTATTTGGAGAAAAGTCTCACTGAGAAGGAAGAGCAAGCAAGTAGCCCAACTATTCCCAAGGAGGAAGAAAAATATATTTTCTGTTTAGCAATAAATATAAACTATTTATGACTGGGGCCATTTATCATGGCTCAATGGCACCCAGTGTGGGTTCTTGAGCTCAGCTTTGCCATGACTGGAGCCCCTCTGGGAGGCAGGACCTGTGAGTTTCATCCTTTGTGGAAGTGAAGTGTTCATTCCACAATTACTGGTGGTCCTGCCATAAAGACCAACATCAAAGGATCATTAAGGGTCCTAAAGGGTTACTAAGCAATCTTCCACATGTGGAAAACGGAAAGAAAAGAAAAAGGGCAATAATCACAGCTACATTTTTTCTTTCTTCCAGGCTTAATCTGAAGTAAACCAGGAGCAACTGAAGCAAACTTGGGCAACTTTAATAGCCCTGGGGGACATCAATCACCCCAGAAGATCTTGCACTTCTAAGCCAATGAAAATAAAGCATAACTAGTATAATACACCTTAGGAGGCATTTCCTGATGGCAATATAAAGGAAGAAATTGATCATTGTAATTCGGGCTGATTAAATACAGAGTTTTCCCTGTACATTAACTGTTTACTTAGACAGGAGCACGAAGAAGATGAAAATGGAGAGAAGAAAGCTTAGGAGAAAAGGAAGAGAGAGAGAGACAGAGAGAGAGAGAGAGAGAGAGAGACAGAGAGAGAGATAAGGCAGACAATAGGGAGGACTGAAAGAAGAGAGACCAGACAGAGAACTAAAAAAGAAAGACGGAGAAGAGGAGAACAGACAAATGAGATGGAAGTGTTAGAAAAAGATAGAGAGGTGGAGGGAGTATAGGAGGAAGGAGAAAGAAAGAGAACTGTAAGTACTTGATTATAATACCAGGTGTTAGAATCATTTTGGCAGCAAAATTTTCAAGTGATACATTCCCAGATAAACTATGAGCTAGTAACAACAAAGCTAGGGCAGTACTTAATTTGATAGACTAATAATAATATTTGACACCACAAGAGTATGATAATTGTCTGTGATGAAGTATCTACACTTCAATCAAAAGTTTCTTAAAAGCAAGGGCTGTTTTCTTTGTGTAACAGTGTATTCTCATTCCACGGCACAGAGACAGGGGCTAAGGGAAAAAAAAAAAAAAAAACAAGAACAAACTTTTTCTCATCTACCCTTACCTACTATTCTAGGTTCATAGAACTTTCACTTCAAAACACTAAGCCAAGAATTCTTTGCTGGAGTTTCATGGATGAATTTGGGGAAGGGAGGGCTGTGAAGCCCCTGAAATGGTATGCAATTTTTATGACATCTTTCTAGAGAAAAATGTAGCTTTTATCAGCTTCTCAAAGCAACCCAAACTTAAAAAGTTAAGAATCATTTTCACCATATTACTTTATCTTACTGCAGGGCGGAAACTAAAAGGAGCAATAATTTAATCTCACTTTCCCACCAGAGAAGGTAGAAACAGAGGTTTCGAGATTTCCCTAAAGGAACAAGGTTTATTTCTGAAACAAACATTCAGGTCCTCTGACTTCCTTTTGTCTGATTACCAGTTTGTCAGAGAGCTATTTTTTCTGTTTGTTTGTTTTTTTCCTTTTCTTTAATCAGCTTTATTTGTGTTGATTACATTTACATTCAACAGAATGCATCCATTTTAAATGTAGAGTTTGACGTGTTTTTTGGTTTTTGGTTTTTTTAAAGATATGCTCTTACTCTCTTGCCCAGGCTGGAGTGCAGTGGCTATCCATAGGCACGATCATAAGCGCACTACAGGCTCGAACTCCTTGTCTCAAGAGATCCTTCCACGTCATCCTCCAGAGGAGCTGTAACTACAGGCGTGTGCCACCACACCCAGCTTAGTTTGATGTGTTTTGACAAATGTATACACCATGGTAACCAGCACCACAGTCAGTATCTACATTTTCATCACTCTAGAAGTTTCAGAGAAGGCAGAGTATTAAAGGAAATCTTTTCGATCTTTGCCACCACCATTTAATTTTCTTATGCACTCTGGAGGGCTGTTTTTACTGAGCCTTAGAGGCTGAGGAGCTTCTTGAAACATGGCTATATTGCTCAACATAGATACATTTCTTCTGCAATTAACTTCTTCCACTAAGCAACATAGAAGTCTTAAATAGAAGTTCTTAAGAACAGATCCAAGAATGATTTATGGACACTGAAGTTACTATCACAGATTATCTGAATAATTGGAAATACTCCTTTGAATTTATGTTGTATCTTTATTGTGAGACATCCAGTTTTTATCTATACTACCAAACCCTATGTGTAACACAGGTCAAGCATCATTAAGTCATTTTGCAGATGGAGAAACAGCAGTGTGACAAACTCTTAACATTACCACTAGTCATAGAACAAGGTAATATTCTGGACCTCTAATTTCATTAACATATGAGTGGTTCTGAATGACAAAGAATGTTAAAGCAGATGATCACATGAGAGGGTATATGAATGTTTTCATCCTAGTAATGTGAAGGAAAAAGCAGCATGGAAATTATTCTGAGAGATTATATTATTGGGTTAGTAAATCAATACACTGTTAAGATTCCAAATTCAGAATAACAAAATTTAGAACTGGAAGGAATCTTATAAATCATCCATTCAACTTCTTCATTTTTACCAATGAAAAAAATGAGACAAAACTTTCTCTGAGGTCACAAAACTAACTACTGCCATAGCTGCAATTAAAATTTAGTTAATCTGGCTGCTAACTAAAGCAAATGGCTTGATAAAATGTACCCCAAAACAGATAAAAATTATACAGCAAAATATACTATTTTTAATTCTTAAATATTGAATCAGTATCATGATAAGAATTATTCCACAATCTTTGGTTCTTTTCTTTAAAAACTTACTGAGGTCCCCAGGAAGAATTATAAACTTAATAAAAAAAAATCTAGACTTGAAAATATTTCAGAGCCACATTTCAAAGGAGACCAGCTCTTTGGAGGGAGGCCATAATCCCTCTCCATAACCTGTCCTAATCTGGAGCCCAGAGAAGTCCAGAGTTGGAACTAAGGACTTGCATTGGGTAAGTACAAATAGAAAAGATAATGGTCTCATGGAAACTCCAGAGAGTGGGCGCCATCCCTTTCCTGGAAGTCAGCAGGATCAGAAAAGCATGGAAGTGTGTGTGAGGGGAGGTCACTGTGAGCTCATGGCCCCCCAGCACATTTCATCTGCTCAGTCACACAACACCAGCTTTCAGGGCCAGCAGGAAGCTCTAGGCTACTTGTTCAAATATTGTCCACTTAAAACTCTTGAAAAAATACGTGGTGATTCTCATGTGTCTGATTCTCAGGTATCAGTTCCTTCCAGTTGTGTCACCATTGAATTTATTCAACATCTTTATTCATGTGGAATTAGATACTCTTTATAACTTTTTATGTTCAGCAAAATGTAAGTTATAACTGATATATATCATCCCTGTAATATAACTGTGTTGTGTTATAACTGATATATATCATCCCTGTAAATGAGAGATAACCAATGTCGTCAAAATAATTTTAAAATGTTTACATAAAACAGAATTTACTTGACAGCAACCAACAGAAAAAAAGTCTTCACATCTTGAAAGATACTCTATAAATCGAAAGGAGTATTAGTATTAAAATACAGTAAATTCTCAGTTATGCAGAAGAGTATGGGAAGAAGTATTCTATTTAACTGAATATTCTGATTAAGAGCATATTTCTAACCATATAAATTGTATCAATTTTCTAGGAATAAAATTGTTTTAATATACTTAAATATTTTTAAAAAGCAATTCAGAAGGTTCTTCAAGATCAGTAGGCACATTAAATATCCATATGTCGTAAGTGCCTCCACAAATATTTTTTAAGTCCCCACTATATGTGTAGTTGTGTAATACTACTGATAAGAATTTTTTTAATAATTGTTTTTTCAAGACAGGGTCTCCCTGTGTCACTCAGCCTGGACCTCCCGGGCTCAAGCGATCCTCCACCTCAGCCTCCTGAGTAGCAGGGACTATAGGCGTGTGCCAACTTGCTTGGCTAGTTGTGGGGATTTTTAAATTTTTTTGTAGAAACGGGGTTTTGTCATGTTGCCCGGGCTAGTCTTGAACTCCTGGGCTCAAAGCGATCAGCCTGCCTCAGTCTCCCAAAGTGCTAAGATTACAGGCTTGAGCTACCATGTCTAGCCAGTACTGATAAGATTTCTGACTGGGGTAGCTAGATAAACCAACTTTTAAAAACACATGCACCACTACCCAAAAATATTTTTAAAGTGACCTTTAAGATCACATACAAATTTTAAATGTTTTTGGAAGTTTGCTGTTCATAGTTACAGAGCACATGGTTCTTTTCCTTTTTTATAGATTATAAAATTTAGTGGATTATATCAAGATAAAGTTACTTTTCAAAATCACATGGGATATTTTGAAATTTAAAAATGTAGATGTATAATTTCACATATTTTTATCACTGAGTATGATTTTCAATTTACACTGATTAAATTACTTAATGTTAGAAATTTGAAAATAATGGCATGGAGTTATATGAATGATCTTATATAAATCTTAGGCTATAAATAGTCTTGCATACAGAACAGGCAAATTTTTAAAAAGGTGTCAAGTTAAGTATTGCTTCTAACATTAAAAATGTGCCTTTACAAATATTGAATGAAAACTAAGAAATTCAATCACTTGCTAGGCTATTGGTTCTGCACAACGCTAAATATTTGGTTACTTGGGAAAAGTTCAGATTTTTTAGTTTCTAGTATCCACTCTGATGTCTGAGGTTACTTACACAAATTCAGAAGAGAACAGGAGAGAAACTTAGGTAATTTCGGGATGTTTTTCCGTGAGCATGCTAGAAGAGAATCGTAAAAGTAGGTAATCCTTTAACTTGAGGAGCAAGGGCAATAATACTACTCCTAGTGTGAGATGATTGTTTTAACTTTTATGAAACATTTACAATAAAGTGAGGAACAAAAATGTGGTTACACTGTTCTTTCCACAACCATCCTGTGGAAAGGTTAAATTATAAACCTAATATTCTGAGACCTTAAAAGATGTCTGGCAGCTTTCCCCTTTCTTGGCTACTTTACTACATCCATGCCTAACATATTCCTGGACTTATTCTAAAATAGAGAGATTGATATTAATGTGTGGTTGCTGGCAGCAGCCTCCTTCTTGTGTAACCACACCTGGTCTAAGTAGCATACCAGACCAAGGTTAAATTACAAGTCCCTTGAGGAAAGTGGATGTGATCTCTGTGCTTGGCTCCATTCAGAATTATGTGTGTGGTGTTTCATAAATATTATATGATGGTGATGATGGTGAACACAAAGGCCAAAAGCCAACCTCTCCACATTTCACTAGGGATTTTTAACAGGAAGTTGAGGATGTTAACAGGCTAGTTACATCATTTCCATAGTTACAACTTTCTTCTAAATGAGTCCAAAGAGGAAGGAAGAATTTATCTGCAAACTCGGGATGACCATCCAAAGTAGCCTGGGATAGAGATAATGCATTAAAAATCAGAGAAGCAGAATGGGTGGAGACCAATTAAATAGCAGACAGAGGAACTGCGCACTTACAATGCAGCCTCTCTAGCTGTGTCTACTGGCCCCGGGATTCTGGATTCTGTTTGCTCTGCTATAATAGCCTGTTATCAAAATTATAAAGCCAAACCAAGGTCTGTACACAAGAAAGGCACAACTACCCCAGCTTTTGGGTGGCAATTTCTTGGTATTTCTATCTTCCTTCTCCTGAATGCTGGCAACACTGACTCTCCTGTTTGGCCTTAGTTTTGGCTGAGACAGGCTTGAAAAATACTGTGAGGCGGCCCTACTTTAAAGCAATCGAGGCTGTCAACCTTGGCTGATCATCAGAATCACTTGAGGAGCTTTAAAAATATTCATCTCTGGGCCCCACTTCTAAAAAGTCTTATTTAACATATTTGAAGACTCAAGTATTAGTATTCCTAAAGAGCTCTCCCAGTGATTCCAAATTGCAGCCAGGGCTGAGAACAATTGCAACAGTCAGCAATATTTGTTCTCTATATTGGTTTACATTCCATTTAACTAATTACTGTTCATGTGTTTTTCTTTTTTCTTCTTTGTTTGCTGCTTGTTTCCTGCCTGTAGTTTTCAAAGATGAACGAAAGAATTTTCCTTGCTCTAAGGCAGGACAAGACACGACAAGAACTGGCTAACGTCAGCAGGGCATGCCTGATTTTGTATGAAGTACGTGTAAGAGCGAACATTTTGATTCATTAAGGCAGCTAGAGACATTTTTGAACTATAAGTATACTGTTTTATTCCCCAATGTCTTTGACTCTCTTTACAAATGTATCAAAACAAAACAAAATTGCTATGTGCTTTTTTTTTTACTAAAGAAACAGAATTAAAGAACTTTAGAATTTTAGGTAGTAGCTCCATCATTTTTAAAAAATGCTACCCTTATATAAAACTGCTTAATTTCATTGTCTGAACCTGTTTCTTTACAGTTAAATAAGTTTCCTAAAAAGCACTTTTCATTTTTTTTACATAATGGAAAGACCAGGTGTAAAATTACAAGAAAAACAGATTTTGAACCTCACTCCCCAGCTTCTTAAAATGGAAAATGTATCTCCTGAGGGCTTTCTTGATTTATTCCAGGATTTAAAAAATTCATTCTTAACAACAATAACAACAATAATAAAGTTCCTACTCCTTGGAATTTATTCACCAAATAAGCAACACCTTTTAAAATCTACTCCGTTAGAACTCTACCCCACAACCTCCCCATCATATATATGTAAGTCCATATAAATCCAAATCTCAAAAACCTGATATACAAACCACTCAGAACATTTTTCATGAAATATCTGTTTTAATTCAGCAGTAAAAGGCAGCACACAATCAGAAATACGTAGGGTTGTGAAAGAGCTCGCCAGGAAATGACAGCTGTTGCACAGGGTATCAGCAACTGCGTACAGCATGGCAAGGTTTTCAGTCCTGTCCTCCTGTCCTCCTCTTGACTTCTCAGTGCTCACTTCAGGAATACATGGTCAACTGCAGCCACTCTTTGATAGACACTTGAATCAGGCCATCTCTATCTCTATCCAGAGACTTGAAGGCACGAAACATGGCATCCAGGCGGACCAAGCAGCTGATGAAATTGTTAAAATCCATATCTCCATCTTCATTAGCATACCGGCGGACAATCATTTGGTAAAGTTGTTCATTTAGCTGGAAGCCTGCAGCCTGCAGAGCTCCCCGCAGCTGAGAACTTCCCAGAGACCCAGAATGGTCCCTGTCATACTGCTTATAAACACACTGCCATTTCTTGATGTTGTTCCATAGATACTTAAATTCTTCAAAGCCCAGCTTCCCAGTCGTGTCACTGTCCATGACAGATACAATGCTCCGGCAGGTGTCAAGACTAAAACCGTCGGTCTTCAGATCCTTGTGCTTAGAAAGGACTTTGTTGAGAATATTCATCAGGTCAGTGGCACCCACCTCCATATCTGGTCCAGCCAGCTGTGTAAATTGTTGCCGAAATCGCCTAACTTCCTCACTTTCTGAGGCCTCCACATTGGTGAAATGCTGTTGAATAGGAGGCGGTTCTGGAGTATACTGAGCCGCTGCAGCCTCACTGATAAAATTCACAATTCCTCCAACTATCCCTCCAATATTTCTTCCTCCTCCTTCTCTTCTCTGACCACCTCCTCCAAAGAGGCCTCCAAGAGCTTCTCCAAGACCTCGATCTGCTCCTTCCAATAGAGCCTTTGCAAGAAACATGCTTTCAGTTTAACAAGCAAATGTGAAAGCTGCCGCAATCTTAGGGATGGTATGAGAAAAGATGAAATGGAGTTCAAGTGTTTACATGTGGAAGAACTGGCTTTTCTTTACCTGCTCACACTGCACCACGCCCCATGATGTGATGTTTCACATCCTCCTAAAGATACCTGAGTTCCATGAGGTCCTAGAACCTGCCATATTTTACAAGGCCTCAATAAAATTGTTTTCACTCTTCCAGATATTCATAAATTATAGTATGTATGACACCTTAGGATAATATTTTAAAGAAAAAATACTAAACTCTGCATTTTTATGTCATTGATTTCTTAGTCCTGTGTCTCAGCACCTAAAACATGATGTGCATTTTCCTAACAGGAAGAAGGTAAATGATGCAAGGAAATCAAAAATTTCTTTTCTAAGAAATATTTATTGTTAGGATAGAATTGAAGAAATCTTGGGCATTGGAAGAATATTTATCTAATCCTCTTCCTTTAGCAAAGATTCTCAAAATCAAGTAGTCCTAAGAAAAACTTAGGACGGAGATTTTTAAAATGCAAGGTCCTGAGTTCCCACTCCCAGATGTTCTGATTCCATAGGTCTGCTGTGGGGTCTGTGATCGACATTGCTAAAATCTTTTTTGAAGTGTAATATTCATGTAAAAAATGTATCATATAAATCACAAATGGATAGCTCAAAGAATTTCACAGACTGAACACATACATGTTATAGCATCCACATCAAGAAATAGAACATCACCAGCACCCCAGAGACCTCTTTATACTTCTCTCCAGTTACTTCCTTCTTCCAAGGATAACCATTGTCCTGATATCTAACACTATAGATTTATTTCTGCACCTTAAATAAATTAAATCAGAAAGTACAGACTCTTTCATCTATTACTTTTTCATTATAAAAATTTTAAATATTTTAAAATTGTGATAAAATATGTATACCATAAAATATACTATTTTAACCATTTTTACGTATAGAGTTCAGTGGCATTAAGTATATTTGCATTGTGAAACCATCACCACCAACTAGCTTCAGAACTTTTGTCATCTGGCAAAACTGAAACTGTACCCATTAAAGAATAACTCCCATTCTCCCCTTCTCCCACCCCTGGTAACCATCACTCTACTTTCTATCTCTATGATTTGACTACTCTGCATGCCTTATATAAGTGGAATCGTACAGTATTTGTTCTTTTGTGACTTGCTTATTTCAATCAGCATAATTTCTTCAAGATCATCCATGTTGTAGCATGTGTCAGAATTCCCTTCCTTTCTAATGATGAATAATATTGTATTGCATTAATATACTCATTTTGTTTTTCCATTATCCCATTGGTGAATACTTGGGTTGCCTTTTGGCTATTGGGAATAATGCTGCTATGAACATGGGTATACAAATATTTGTTTGAGTCTTTGCTTTCAATTCTTTTGGGTATATACCAAGAAGTGGAATTGCTGAATCATATGATGCTTCTATTTTTATCTTTTTAAGGAACTACCATATGCTTTTCCATATTGACGATACCACTTACATCCCCACCAGCAATACACAAGAGTTCCAATTACTCCATATCCTTGCCAACACTTGTTATTTTCTCTTTTGTTTTGTTTTGTTTTCTAATAATGGCCATCCTAATGGGTGTAAAGTGGTATATCATTGTAGTTTTGATTTGCATTACCTTAATGATTAATGATGTTGAACATCTTTTAATGTATTAATACTTACTGGCCAAAGAAGATCTTTGGAAAAGTGTCTATTTAAATCTTTTGGCCATTTTAAAATCTGGTTATTTGTTGGGTTTCTTGTTGTTGAGTTGCAGGAGTTCTTTAAATATTCTAGATATTAATCCCTTATCAGATATACAATTTGTAAATATTTTCTTTCATTCTTTCATTCTGCAGGTTACCTTTCCACTCTGTTGTCACTGTCCTTTGAAGCATAAAAGTTTAAAATTTGTATGCGGTCATATTTATCTATTTTTCTTCGGCTGCCTGTGCTTTTGGTGTAATATTCAAGAAATCATTGAGAAATCCAGTGTCTTGAAGTTTTTCCTCTGTTTTCACTGAAGAGTTTTATAGTTTCAACTCTTATGCTTAGATCTTTGATCCATTTTGAGTTAACTTTTGTGTATGTGTAAGGTAAGTTCATTCTTTTGCATGTGGATATATAATTTTCCCAGCACAATTTGTTGAAAAGACTGTCCTTTCCCCACTGAATGGTTTTGGCATTCTTGCTGAAAATCATATGACCATATACACAAGGGTTTATTTCTGGGTTCTCTATTCTATTCCATTGGCTTATATGTCTTTCTTGAAACCAGTACTACACTGTTTTGATTACTGTAGGTTTGAAGTAAGGTTTGAAATGAAGAAATGTCAGGCTTTCAACTTCGTTATTCTTTTTCAAGATTGTTTTGGCTATTCAGGGTCCCTTGAAATTCCCTGTGAATTTTAGGATTGATTCTTCTATTTTTGTAAAGAAACATTGGGACTTCGAAAAGGATTGCTTTAAATCTGTAGATCACTGTGGGAAGTACTGACTCTTAATATTGTCTTCTAATCCATAAATATGGAATATCTTTCCATTTATTTGTCTCTTCTTCAATTTCTTTTAGCAGTGCTTTGTAGTTTTCAGTGCATAAGTCTTTAGCTTCCTTCTTGAAGTCTATTCGAAGTATTTTAATTTTTTTCTATGCCATTGTAATGGAATTGTTTTCTTAGTTTCCTTTTCAGAATTGCTCATTGTTGGTGTATAAAATGCAACTGATTTTTGTGTGTTGACTTCATATCCTGTAACATTGCTAAGTCCCTTAATTAGTTCTGTTTTTTGTATGTGTGAGGGGGGATCTTTAGGGTTTTCTACAAATAAGATCATATCATTTGTTAACAGAGATAATTTTACTTCTTCCTTTCTAATTCATATGCCTCTTACTTCTTTTTCTTGCCTAACTGTTCTGGTGATGATTTCCAATACCATGTTGGTAGAAGCATGAGAGTGGCATCTTAGTCTTATTCCTGATCTTAGAGGAAAAGCTTTCAGTCTTTCATCACTGCACATAATGTTAGCTATCAACTGTTCATATATGGTGTTTATTATGTTGGGGCATTTTCCTTCTAGTTTGTTGTGTGATTTTATCAGGGAAGAGTACTGAATATTGTCAAATGCATTTTCTGCATCCGTTGAGATGATCATATGATTTTTCCCCTTCATTCTGAGAATATGCTGTGTTACATTAATTGATTTTCATATACGGAACTATCTTGCATTCCAGGAATAAATCCCACTTTATCATGGTATATAATACTTTTAATGTGCTGTTGAATTCTGTTTGCTAGTATTTTGTTGACTTTTGCATCCATGTTCATATGGCATATTGTTCTGTGGTTTTCTTGTCTCCTAGTGTTTTTATCTGACTTTGGCTGTTGAATTCTGTTTAATGTGCTATTGAATTCTGTTAGACAGTATTTTGTTGACTTTTGCATCCATGTTCATACAGCATATTGTTCTGTGGTTTTCTTCTCTCCTAGTGTTTTTATCTGACTTTGGCCTCATGGAATGAATCAGAAAAGATTCCCTCTTCTTTAATTATTTGTTAGAGTTTCAAAAGAACTGGTGTTAGTTCTTCTTTCAATGTTTGGTGGAATTTTCCAGTGAAGCCAACTGGTCCTGGGCTTTTCTTTGTTGGGAGGTTTTTGGTTACTGATTCAATATCTTTGCTAATTATAGGTCTATTCACATATTTTACTTCTTCATGATTCAGTCTTGGTAGTTTGTGTAGGAATCTGACAATTTCATCTAGCTTATGCAATCTGTTGCATACAGTTGTTCATAGTACTTACTCACCATCCTTTTTATTTCTGTAAAATTGGTAGCAATGTCTTCTCTTTCATTTCAGGTTTTATGTGTCTGGCTTTCCACCCCTCCCCCCCCAACATTGTATTTTTGAGATTTGATTTTATATTTTTAATAAGCATCTTCAGAAGTCAGTCTGTAACAGGTAGCCCAGATAATACTTTGAGAAATCCTACCTTTAATACTAGTTATAGTCAGAGTACAAATCCTCCAGAGGTTGTTGGAAGTTTTATTGGTGAACTTGGGGAAAAGTAGCTAGGACTTAATGATTAAGTCATTATATTACTTAGCATTTGGGGTCTCAATTTCAAATCTACAAAATGATAATAATAATATCTCCCTTGCTTACTTTAAATGATTCAATCTGATTTATTATGTATCAGGACTTGGGCTCAGTACTTAGGTTACAGAGGTGAATAAAGCAGGATGGCTGTGCTTAAGAATCAAGCAGAACTATAGGAAACTGTTACAATTATAATATGAAGTCTATGTTCTACTATTAATACTAATCTATTGTATTTGTATGTAATATGTTTTAGAGCCTAGGTTTGATTGAATTCTTCTGAAAGATACAAATGTATTTCAGATAAGGTAAGAAAAATTCAAGAAAAGTTAAGCTAGTTATCCAAGGTCATGTAGCTAGTGCACTGTCCTATGATACCAAACCAGTATGGGCACGCAAAAAGGAATCAGTGAATTCCACTGAGGCAAAGGAAAGGAGAACATTTACCTATAGAAGAGATCATGTGTAGACCTGACTAGAGACTGAGTCAGAGTTATCCAAATAGATAAGGGATATAAAAGGACAGTCTAGCAAAAATACAGAGGAGCTAAAGGATATGAGGTATTCAAGAGATGGTGAACAGTACAATGTAATGAGACTCTATTGCTAGGAGTGATGAGAGATAAAGAGAGATCAATAAGATGGAATAAAATTGGAAAGGGCTTTGACTGCTATGTGGCAGAGTCTCTCTCACAAATAATTGTAGAAACTACTGATAGCTCAAATGTAAAGTCAAAAGGAGATTAGATGTGAAATTACTTTGGAAATTACGTAATTCTAGAATTGAATAATGATTATTCTAGCTATTATTAGGGAGAGAATAGTAGCAAGGGGACATCGCTCTGTCCAGGACATGAGAGCAATGTCCTGTCTTCTGCCACACTGAGTGGTTTGTATAATACTTTCCAACAACTGATTTTATTTCTCATAGGCACAATGAAATGGCCTCTGTGAACACCAAAAGTCAAATGTCTTCTTTAACTACTCAGCAAAAGTATCACAAAAGAATTGTCTTCCTTTTAGGGAATCACAAGGGGCCATCTGGCTTTAGACAGATTTAAACACATTCATATAAGCTTCTCTCAGAGAAAATTACATGAACTTTGTTTTTATAATATTGCAAATTAACTTGATAATATCGACTGTCACATAAAATGTGCCTCCTTGTGCCCGTCTGAAGTGTTTTTTTGCTGTGGTTTAAATTCAATTCTTCTCATTTATTTTCTGTGAAGATGGAGGGCATTTGGCTAACAATTTCTCATAAGCCATCATAGAATAAAAGACTATTATTAGATTAACAAGCTTTTTCTCCTCTGGATGATTTAATCCCCTATGGCTATTTATTAGAACATTAATAGCAACCTTAATTTCTGTCTGTGGGAACTCTACCATCCATATCTGCAAAAAAAAAAAAAAAAAGTGTAGGAGGGGAAGAAGCCACATCTGATGGATAATTTAGTCCCAATTTGGGGAACCAAGTTATTAGACTTAAAAAGTACACACTGAGACACAATGTTATTTAAAACATTATTCAAAATAGTCCAAAAGTGAAGCAACCTAAATGTTCACCAACTGGTGAACAGATAAGCAAAATATGATATATCCACATAAAAGAATACAATTCAGCAATAAAATCGTGACTGATATATGCTACAAGATAGATAAACCTTAAAACATTATGCTAAGTGAAAGATGCCAGACACAAAAGACATACATTATAGGATTCCATTTATATAAAATGTCCAGAAAAGGCAAATCCATAGAGATAGA